CTACCCGATGATGTGCTCTGATTTGGAATTCGGTCAATCCATCTACTCGAAAACTGCTGTGCAAGTGTATTTTCGACATAGCCCACAAATGACCTTAGGTCATCGCATGACCTTGAGAGGTCAAATGAGTGTTGGGAAAGTAAGATTAGATGCTGGCGAGTCGATTGGTGCCATTTTTAGCGCTCTAGCTCTACTGGGTGGGCCACAATCTGCTGTGCAAATTTGGGCCACGTGACCTTTGCTGACCTCTGTAGGTCAAACGGCTGGGAGTGCCACCGAATGACTTGAACTGTACATTGGGCATGTCATGGCCTACATTGTGTGCGAGTTTCAGCTTGATCGGAGGTGTCCCGAATCTGGGCTGAATCCGGGCTGCGACGTATTGAGTCTCGATTATTTGCACATTTTGACCTGCCGAGGTCAAACAGGGTCACATATCGAAAAGCGGTTTTTAAGGAAAGTTACTACGGCCTATGGGCTACCCCATGATGTGCTCTGATTTGGAATTCGGTCAATCCATCTACTCGAAAACTGCTGTGCAAGTGTATTTTCGACATAGCCCACAAATGACCTTAGGTCATCGCATGACCTTGAGAGGTCAAATGAGTGTTGGGAAAGTAAGATTAGATGCTGGCGAATCGATTGGTGCCATTTTAAGCGCTCTAGCTCTACTGGGTGGGCCACAATCTGCTGTGCAAATTTGGGCCACGTGACCTTTGCTGACCTCTGTAGGTCAAACGGCTGGGAGTGCCACCGAATGACTTGGACTGTGGATTGGGCATGTCATGGCCTACATTGTGAGCGAGTTTCAGCTGGATCAGAGGTGTCCCTAATCTGGGCTGAATCCGGGCTGCGACGTATTGAGTGTCGATTATTTGCACATTTTGACCTGCCGAGGTCAAACGGGGTCACATATCGAAAAGCGGTTTTTAAGGAAAGTTACTACGGCCTATGGGCTACCCGATGATGTGCTCTGATTTGGAATTCGGTCAATCCATCTACTCGAAAACTGCTGTGCAAGTGTATTTTCGACATAGCCCACAAATGACCTTAGGTCATCGCATGACCTTGAGAGGTCAAATGAGTGTTGGGAAAGTAAGATTAGATGCTGGCGAGTCGATTGGTGCCATTTTTAGCGCTCTAGCTCTACTGGGTGGGCCACAATCTGCTGTGCAAATTTGGGCCACGTGACCTTTGCTGACCTCTGTAGGTCAAACGGCTGGGAGTGCCACCGAATGACTTGGACTGTGGATTGGGCATGTCATGGCCTACATTGTGTGCGAGTTTCAGCTTGATCGGAGGTGTCCCGAATCTGGGCTGAATCCGGGCTGAGACGTATTGAGTGTCGATTATTTGCACATTTTGACCTGCCGAGGTCAAATGGGGTCACATATCGAAAAGCGGTTTTCAAGGAAAGTTACTACGGCCTATGGGCTACCCGATGATGTGCTTTGATTTGGAATTCGGTCAATCCATCTACTCGAAAACTGCTGTGCAAGTGTATTTTCGACATAGCCCACAAATGACCTTAGGTCATCGCATGACCTTGAGAGGTCAAATGAGTGTTGGGAAAGTAAGATTAGCTGCTGGCGAGTCGATTGGTGCCATTTTTAGCGCTCTAGCTCTACTGGGTGGGCCACAATCTGCTGTGCAAATTTGGGCCACGTGACCTTTGCTGACCTCTGTAGGTCAAACGGCTGGGAGTGCCACCGAATGACTTGGACTGTAAATTGGGCATGTCATGGCCTACATTGTGTGCGAGTTTCAGCTTGATCGGAGGTGTCCCGAATCTGGGCTGAATCCGGGCTGCGACGTATTGAGTGTCGATTATTTGCACATTTTGACCTGCCGAGGTCAAACGGGGTCACATATCGAAAAGCGGTTACAAGGAAAGTTACTACGGCCTATGGGCTACCCGATGATGTGCTCTGATTTGGAATTCGGTCAATCCATCTACTCGAAAACTGCTGTGCAAGTGTATTTTCGACATAGCCCACAAATGACCTTAGGTCATCGCATGACCTTGAGAGGTCAAATGAGTGTTGGGAAAGTAAGATTAGATGCTGGCGAATCGATTGGTGCCATTTTTAGCGCTCTAGCTCTACTGGGTGGGCCACAATCTGCTGTGCAAATTTGGGCCACGTGACCTTTGCTGACCTCTGTAGGTCAAACGGCTGGGAGTGCCACCGAATGACTTGGACTGTGGATTGGGCATGTCATGGCCTACATTGTGTGCGAGTTTCAGCTTGATCGGAGGTGTCCCGAATCTGGGCTGAATCCGGGCTGAGACGTATTGAGTGTCGATTATTTGCACATTTTGACCTGCCGAGGTCAAACGGGGTCACATATCGAAAAGCGGTTTTCAAGGAAAGTTACTACGGCCTATGGGCTACCCGATGATGTGCTTTGATTTGGAATTCGGTCAATCCATCTACTCGAAAACTGCTGTGCAAGTGTATTTTCGACATAGCCCACAAATGACCTTAGGTCATCGCATGACCTTGAGAGGTCAAATGAGTGTTGGGAAAGTAAGATTAGATGCTGGCGAGTCGATTGGTGCCATTTTTAGCGCTCTAGCTCTACTGGGTGGGCCACAATCTGCTGTGCAAATTTGGGCCACGTGACCTTTGCTGACCTCTGTAGGTCAAACGGCTCGGAGTGCCACCGAATGACTTGGACTGTGGATTGGGCATGTCTTGGCCTACATTGTGAGCGAGTTTCAGCTGGATCGGAGGTGTCCCGAATCTGGGCTGAATCCGGGCTGCGACGTATTGAGTGTCGATTATTTGCACATTTTGACCTGCCGAGGTCAAACGGGGTCACATATCGAAAAGCGGTTTTCAAGGAAAGTTACTACGGCCTATGGGCTACCCGATGATGTGCTTTGATTTGGAATTCGGTCAATCCATCTACTCGAAAACTGCTGTGCAAGTGTATTTTCGACATAGCCCACAAATGACCTTAGGTCATCGCATGACCTTGAGAGGTCAAATGAGTGTTGGGAAAGTAAGATTAGATGCTGGCGAGTCGATTGGTGCCATTTTTAGCGCTCTAGCTCTACTGGGTGGGCCACAATCTGCTGTGCAAATTTGGGCCACGTGACCTTTGCTGACCTCTGTAGGTCAAACGGCTGGGAGTGCCACCGAATGACTTGGACTGTGGATTGGGCATGTCATGGCCTACATTGTGTGCGAGTTTCAGCTTGATCGGAGGTGTCCCGAATCTGGGCTGAATCCGGGCTGCGACGTATTGAGTGTCGATTATTTGCACATTTTGACCTGCCGAGGTCAAACGGGGTCACATATCGAAAAGCGGTTTTCAAGGAAAGTTACTACGGCCTATGGGCTACCCGATGATGTGCTTTGATTTGGAATTCGGTCAATCCATCTACTCGAAAACTGCTGTGCAAATGTATTTTCGACATAGCCCACAAATGACCTTAGGTCATCGCATGACCTTGAGAGGTCAAATGAGTGTTGGGAAAGTAAGATTAGATGCTGGCGAGTCGATTGGTGCCATTTTTAGCGCTCTAGCTCTACTGGGTGGGCCACAATCTGCTGTGCAAATTTGGGCCACGTGACCTTTGCTGACCTCTGTAGGTCAAACGGCTGGGAGTGCCACCGAATGACTTGGACTGTGGATTGGGCATGTCATGGCCTACATTGTGTGCGAGTTTCAGCTTGATCGGAGGTGTCCCGAATCTGGGCTGAATCCGGGCTGAATCTGGGCTGAATATGGGCTGTCTTGACGGACATGCGGAAAGTAGGGTGGGATAGAACATTGGGTGAGACGAACATGTACAATGCAACACTCAATAAGCTCCTGGCTGCTGGCTGATTGCCTTAGGGCGACTCCAACCTAGCGCTCGATCACTGATCAGCCGCTAAGACCAAATGGCACCGACGGCCCTGGACGGGGTGGCTGAAATGGGGGGGGGGGGGGGGAACGCGGTTCCCAAACGCCAGTGGCTTGGCCAACTGAGCGAGATGGTTCATGATGGTTCATGGGTGCCGCACCCATGAACCATCATGAACCATCTCGCTGTCCATTGCTGGTCATGCACTCAGGTCCGTACATATACAAATCGGGGCGTGACATGCCGGTCTCTGCAGTCTGCACCCTTCCCCCGAGACCGCCAGTGGCAAGGAATTTCGGGCGGTAGGCGCCCATCGCTGAGGCGAACTTCTGATGGAGCTTAGTAATTGTCCACATGGCACACAGCGACCGTTTTGTGGCAGCACAACGCAGATGCAACTATCATCCCGGATGCTGCTGGAGCTGCAGTGATCCAATGCTGCTGAAAAACTTAATCACTCAAAAATCACGTAAAACGCATGCGCAATGCCTTCACATCACCACCAAACATTTACCTCAGCAATGGCCAATGAAAAAGTGTATTCAGTATTCTGAGTATTGTATTTACACAGAAATAAATTGTGTGAAGCCTGTACACTTGTACGAGAAGTGGTTATGTGGGTTGACCCGCACACATGTAGGAATGCGACAGTGAAACGGTAAACGGCATTGATTACGGAAAAGTGGCCAAGTGCGTGTCTATTCATCGAAATATCACACGACTTTTGCCTGCTGAACCAAATGGAGGCGATCAGTCAGCGACAGGTCTCAGGTCATTGGCGAATCCAGAGAGGCTGCGTTTCAGGTGCTGCGCTTGGGGAAACTCTGAACAATTACTAAATTCAGAACTGCTTGGATTTTGGTTTTCACATGGATTTCAATGGTCCTTTTGCACTCATCTAGCGGATTCCTGAAACACAACTTGTTACAGTTATCATAACACGGGCAGGGCCAGCATCCAACGCAGCTGCGCCCTTGGACTCGCCAGAGCTATCAAAAGACCTCGACTTTTGATATGCACGTTATTGTACATTTCCGTTCCTCGACTGAGATCGTCCTTACAGCGCTGCAACATGTCTTTCAATCCACAAATCAGCACTCAGACAAAAACGAAGAAAAAAAAAAAACATTCGAGTAGTGCAATGTTGAAGTGACTAGAAATGTATCACGAAAATCGACACCAGCATGACCAGTCAATACTCACTGCATCAGTACACATCTCGCGAATTGAACTATCACTCATTTGCAATGGACGGACTAGTCAGCTTACTGATATCGACGATGGTAGAGGCAGTCTTCGTGACCCAGAGAGACCGGGCTGTTCCGGATTCCCACAACAGATCCAAGGCGTCTCACTGAAGCCTGAAACAGACTCTTTCCGCAGTCAGGAAATCGCATGCGAGAGCCTATTCAAATACATGGAAGCACGCCCGCGTCAATCGCACGCACCCCCCGCAAGCGATTGATGCGAGAAGAATTACAATGTATTTGAATAGGCTCTCGCATGCGATTTCCTGGACGCGGAAAGGGTCTGTTTCAGCCTTGAAACAAGTTTCAGTTACAAGGTTCATGCCCCAGCGAAGTCACACAAAAATCGGCAGGCTTCGGTACTCGGTAGTCTTTCCACTGTACGCCACTCAGCTGCTCCAGCACACCGGCTGCAAGCACCGGGCTCTGGAAAGCAGACCTTGGAACACATCCGTCCGGAAGCAGCGGAGGTCAAACCGGCAGGGGCGGCCGTCACGTGGGGGCGAACCGAAGGAGCGGCTTGGCCAGCACACGCTCGTTGAAATGGAGGAGCAGGACGGCAGCGCCCCCACCGGCAGCGGCCAGAAACAGTAGTACGACCAGCACCAGCCGCCACACGTAGAGCGGATCGACAATCTGCCAGCGAGACGGCGGCACAAACGGTCGGAGGCAGCCAACACCAGATAATGGAAGGGGGTAATGAGGGGGCAAATGGGGCCAATGACGGCTTTCGTATCGTCACGTAAGCCATGAAATTGAACGCAATTGAAGTCCAACGTGTTTCAATTGCTTGCGACAGCAATTCAACATTTTTTTTTCAAGCAAAAGGATCCGAATACTAACCAGACAACACTGCAATGTCACATCAACGCCTGCTCACGAATATCGCTGTTTCCATAGGTATCAGCACCCTGAATCCCGTGCGATAGCGGAGCCCAAACCAAGCCCAAACATTCCAAAACATAAATCTCCTTCACTCACCCGTCCATCATCGGTATCCACGTGGTCTGCCGCCTTAATGGGCATCCGACTCAGGAGAAACGTGAAGATAGCCGCTGCCGCCACGGATGACAGCGCGAGCGTGCGGCGTGCGCGCATGAACACCAGGCAGACGAGGATGACCAGCGACCAGAGAAGGACGAGTGTGAACAGGCCAGGCCCAAGGCCCAGCACAGTCGTCATTTTGGTCAGCCTGCAAGAAGCATGGGGAAAATTTTGTCAACATTGTGCTTTTGGAGAATGTAGAAATGGTAATCTGATTTGTTCACATGATAAAACCCATCTTTCACAAACATGTTTTGACATTTCCTTTTGAGTCCCAATTTGAGCATTAAAAGCAGAAGATGGCTAATTCATCAGAGTCTGTTTTTAGATGAGGGTGTTATTCATCAAGTACCTATGTTTTCCATGTTAGGCCTTGAAACTTGCAAGATTGCTTCAAGAAAGATAGAAAACTTAGATACCTTTCTAATATGAACTATATGATCACAGATCAATATATGGACTTCAAAAGAAATGTCATTGTCCATTGTTACAGATGGAGTCAGAGTTGATTATTGAAAACAGGAGTCATAGTCAGAGTCACAAAAATCCAGTGACTATGCAGCATTGCATCTAAGACATCTGGCACAATGGACCTTGAAACTTCTAAGCAAACTTTGTATTAAGCTCTCAAACATTATGAATGCTAGCTGCAGGATAGATCATGCTATATACAACTAGCTTGTACTTGATCATACTGTTATGAAATATTAATGAAATACAAGGAAATAAAACATATAAATATCAATTTCTAGTTGTACATTTTCCATCTTCATTTTCAATTTGCACAGAAAACAGTGAAAACCAAAACAAGTAAGAAGTATTTAGTATTATCATTTTTTATGCCTCTTGATCAAAGAAATACCTACTTTTATCTATCCATCTGACAGCTTAACTATTGAAATATTGAAAGTATTGTTATCATTGCCTGTGCTGAAAACAAAGACTGCCCAATGCACCATGTCACTTTCCAAAATTTAGTGGTAAGGCCAATATTCTATTTTGATTTTAGGATACCAGTCACTCTTACCATGCACTGCCATAGAGTTTATGTTAAAAATCTTAATAATTGGTAGGGCTGGGGCACTACGCAGCCAACCTATACAAAATGATACAAAACAACGCCTGTGACCCAATGTTAATTGTGTTTTAATGTGTTTTGCCGAGCTTTTATTGGTTTCTGTTTCACTATGCCTCATAGATATCACATGCTTGCTTGAATAATATAAGTTTTATGGTTGAGCTTTATATTGAGCATTGTGGTCATTTTAATTTGTAAATCTAAATAATTTTACAGCGCTTGCCACATCTTAGGTAACATGAACTTCCACCCTTGCTTCCACCCATCTATGGTAACGCCGTTATCAATATGAAGTAAAAAAACCTCACCTCTACTGAAGTTCACTACCTGTATAAAATCTCAATGCCGTAAATGTCAAATGACTATCTCCTGTGAAATGACTATCAACATATATGATATAATCATATGAATATGCAACACACAGTCCTGGTGCAACACACTGCACCCGCATTTTGATTTTGACAAGGCCAATGTCATACAGCAGCTTTTTGTACGGGGAAAAAATAAATACTTATCGTATGGGGCGCGCCATGTCTGTCGCTTCAAAGTTCTTTAATAACTACTAAAAAACACAAACATTGACAATTGTTCTACACCATTCTACACCTACCTACTTCTGGGATGAGATGAGTTTGCATGATGATAGAAATAAATAGGATTGGGACTGTAGTCTGTATCTCAAGTCCACAAAGTGGGGTCAATGACGCCCATGGGCCATGTTTGTTTTGTAAGTTGTTAAAAATGTTTATAAATACAGTTTGTGCGACAGTGCGAGGCATAGGTACCCATGTTTTGTACAGTCCCATTGCCGAACCTGTGCCAGAATGCGCCGGGCTTGCGTGCCGCGCCTGCCGCCGCTGATGCGTCTCGTTAGGGTATGCTCCAATTCGCGCCCAGCGAGCGTTATTTGGCGAGAATGTCAGGCGCGTACCGCCGGGACCGGGGCGGATCGACGGACGGCGGTGCTAATTAACCGCCGGGTACTGGGCTGAGCGTCTGCGTCATACCGACAGTCGGGCCGGGGTCAGAGGCACTGCGATCAGCCGGGGACGGCCGGCCCGACCCGGCCAGTCGACTGATACAGAGAGTGGTAACATGGTGGTAACCGACGGCTTGGAACGAACGAAGGAACTGATGGCAATTGCATGAGGAGCGTAAAATCAGGCTCAGTTGGCATTATTCATTAGGATTAAGGCATGCTATTTGTTAAATCCGCATTACCTACCTATGGCGAAAGGGACCTGGTTCATTTTTCGACGATGATTTCAAAGATACAATAGAAATGCATATCACATATATTTTAATTAACTCCTCTTGCAAGGGGTAGTTACCTATATCAAAGCTGTGGGAAGTCGTTAACCAACAGTTCTCCTTTCAAGCAGCGTGGAAAAATCCCAACATTGGCAGAGACAATGTTCAGACATTAGCCATTTAGACCAACGAGCGAGCCTAAAACGAGGATAAAGTTTCTGGCATTGATTGCCTGAGCGCTGGGAACTCTGAGCGGTGCGACCGGGCGGTATTTGTACTACCTGAAACTCGTTCGGACTCCGGACTAGCGGCCAACTGGCGCGATGATTCGCTCAAACATCTGCAGCTGGCTGGTACCCGGATACCTACCCCTGGCGCGCTCGTGTGTGTGTGTGGCAGCCGGGGAAGAGGGACTCGACCTGTAGGCAACCTTGACTTCAGAAGGTGACCCAGCGCCTGGTAATTCAATTATTCAACAGCACCAGCACTAATTCTACTGTCCTGTCCTCATGGGCTGGTTCCAGGCGTCATGGTCACGAAATGAAAGCTCGGTGATAATGAGTTCGACTGTAAACAGTGCCTCGGAAATGGCGCTGTCAAATATCACATCGCGTCTTGAATGGATGGGCCAGAGCTCGCGGCTAATTGTTTCGGTGGGTTTAAAATGTTTTCATTGTGGTCATTAAAGGCGAATTCAGACTTAGAATAGAGATAAATGAAAGTTTAGAGGAACATCGTCTGGGTTTATGTGCCGTCTAACTTCTTTATCTGCGGAGCAAAATGGTTTACCAGAGTTGTGAGTGAACGAAAGATATCAAACTACGAAACTGGCAGCATATACGATATTGAATTAGTGTATGCACGTCACGGCCACGGATAATCCACTGAGTAGTCACTAGTCACTACCCCTACTACCGGGTCCGGGGTAAGTACTCAAGTAGTCCCTCACATCACAAAGTCTGTGCCATATATCTGTCAATGTCAAATTATTTATCCATGGCCTTTAGCCTTACTACACTTGGAAGGCGAGTAGCTTTTCTTTTCATCAAAAGTTGTTCTCTGAAGACGTAACTTTTAGCATCATCGAAGATGTGTTAGAAGCATGCATGTTGAATTGGTATACATTGATAATGTGCTTGTAACTTTATTTCGCTGCGAGTTCGATAGTCGATCTCCACAGCTTCATTATTTATCACTGCAAATCCCCAACTTTACTGAAGTTCTCAGGTAAGTTCATGAGACCCGTCCAACTGAGTTAGTTGGCTCAGGCCTTGACTCACCCTTGGGCATGCATCTAGCGTAACTCACCTTCTGCCCACATCGCTAACGCCAGCGGTAGACCATTTCAGTTTGAGCGAGAGCTCTTCACGGAAGACCCGCGCGGGGCTGGGGGGGGGGTAAATTTTACCCCCCCTCGCGAATTTTTGCAATATCTCAAAAACGGCGGCGCGCAGCGCCGCCAAACTTTCAGTACCTTTCCTTACATCAATTTGACACCTTCCCTGAAAATTTGAGCTAAATCCGTCGGAAAATTTATGAGAAATTGACGTTTTAGTGACGTCATGTTCGCCAATTTCGCCTCCAAAACGGCCAAATTTCAAACGCCGCTAACATCTTCATTTTTAAAGGAATCAAGACGTAACAAAAAGGTTATACGTAATTTTACTTTGGCTATCAAATGGCTATCTCGGTTTTTTAAAAATTTTGGATTTTGGCCTAAATTTTTTCAAAAAACTGACTTTTTTGGGAAAATAGTTATAAAATCCAAAATTTTGGGTTTATCGAAAAAACCGGAATATATATCAGAGAAGTGGTCTATGTGCACCTACATACCAATTTTTAGAAGAATCGGTTCAAAAATGTGGGAGTTATTCAAAATTTTATTACGTCACGACACACAAAAATTTTCAAAAAATGATTTTTTGGAAGTTCTAGACCTCGTACGGAAACAAAAATAGCACCATTCGATTCCTCGTGCAAAACTGCATCAGATAGACACCTTTTTAGGCCTTAAAAACCAACTTCAAAATTTGACCTCACTTGACCTGACCTTGACCTGACCTCGACCTGAAATTCATCCAGAGGTGGTCCATATCACTTATTGAGTGTGCCTATTGAATTCTATGAGTAAAATGACCCATAAAACATGTGTCGCACATGCCCTTTTCTATATTTTGTTTTTGGTGTCCTGACCTGACCTGACCTGACCTTGACCTTGACCTCTGAATGATATTGTATGCAACGAATATTGTCTTGGTAGCCTAAGAACACGTTTTGGGCAATCAGTCTCAGTCCATGACTCCATTCTTCGGCAACTACGGTGCAAGGCCGATACTGTAGGAACTTGCAAATTGTACCCTTGACCTGACCTTGACCTTGACCTCAAACCTTAAATTAAGTACATGTTTTTAGTAGTTCGTGATGAGATCTTTCGATTGGCGTTTGAATTTTCCAAATCAGACCATTAGTTCGGGAGATAACAGGGGGGGTAAAATTTACCCCCCCCCCAGCCCCGCGCGTTCGGCTGGAGACCCCAGCCCCGCGCGGGTTAACGTGAATGCCAGCGTCCACGGGAGACTCCCTGGACACTTCAGCGCGCATTCGGCGACTATGGCAGGTGATTCGGTCCTGAGCTGTTCCTCCACAGCCACTGTCTGCCGGAGGTAGACGGTTCGGAGCTATCGCCGTAACGTGCTCCAGAGCGCGCCGGCGACGGCATGGCCGGCCGCTCAGGAGGGAAATGCAGGCAAATTGCTGTTTGCATGCCCGTGTCCCGAGATGCCCAATCAGCGTTAGTTTAACAAACCTGGGGTGGAATCACACTAACGTGACTAAGCGGCTAAATGACCTTAGTAAGTGGAGTTTTGAATATGCAGTATATCTGCATTCATAGTCATCCAATTTGGTGCGAGAAGCGTGCTTGCAGTTTATAATATCATTCGACAAAAATTACGCCACTTCCGGAATTAGGTATGCGTTGCTGAACTTTGTCGATGAAGGTATGGTGACATTGAAATGGTTAAATTGGACAAAAACATATTTGTAGAAGAAGAAATTAAATTCAAATGATGTATATCATATTAGAAGAAATGTAGTAACCGATCAATCATCGGTTAATACAGAATATCATATCTAAAAAGTTAATTGTTTTCAAAACGGGCTTCGCTGAGGAAAAACTAAATATTATAACCAAATATTTCGGCTTTATTGATCAGCCTTGTTCGCTGGTTTGAAATACAGTGACGATTCATTTGTTCGGTTTTTCGTAAGCTAGAAGATCGTCATCACTGACGGCACGATATGAATATTTGAATTTTTAGGTCATGTTTTTGAGAAAAATGTATTTCAAACCAGTGAACAAGGCTGATCAATAAAGCCGAAATATTTGGTTATAATATTTAGTTTTTCCTCAGCGAAGCCCGTTTTGAAAACAATTAACTTTTTAGATATTTATTAACCTGAGGAAAAGAATAATGACGCTTCGGCAGAATATCATGTTTATTGAGCTGTTTGCTTTTTGAATAAAGCATAAAACATGCTTTAAGTTTTTGTTTTCTTTCTTGAATATGCTGTCGGTTATGAGTCAATTCATCATAATACTCAACGCCCCAATATACATCACTGTGTTGCATTCTGCAAATTTATCGTCTTTCCTTTCTGCACGCTTCACCCACACGTAGGCAAAGGCACATCAGCTAGTCGGTGCAGCGGTTGAGGAAGGTATGCTGTAGCGCAACACACCCCTGTCGGGCGGTACAGCCTACCTATACAGACGGTCGCCGGACGGAGCTCAGCCATAGGATAAACCAGCACGTTCATCTGCGGTGGTAGGTAGTTATTCGTGGCTCGCGCTTTTTGGCGCGTCTCATTGTTACGGAGCGAGCGAAGCGAGCGTAGTCTTTCCTTATAGATTAACGGAAATTTCTGAGTATGAGCGGCCGGCCGGCCGGCCGGCCGTGCGGACGCTTTTGCGAGGCTTATATCTCAGCAACCACTTGACCGATTTACATGCGGTAATTTTTGTAGGGTAGCTTCATTCCTTCTACCAAGTATTGGACTATTCCTGATGCATGTGGGTGACCCCTTATGCACGTGCCACGTGCAAAACGAAGAGGTGTCAGTTTTGGAATTGTTGCAATATCTCGGTAACTACTCGGCCGATTGCGCTGAAAGTTGGCATGTAGGTAGGCACACACTAGGCACTGCACATCCATGTGCCAGAGTTGGGGTGCTGCTGCATGTGCGCACGTGCAGGGGTCGTTTCCAGATCTCGAGAACGGCTCGACCGATTGCGCTCAAATTTGGTACACAGTTAGGGACCGGTTAGTAGGGTGCCGTGCAAAGGCCAGTCGGGACCCATTTTGCACGTGCGCACGTGCAGGGTGCCGCTTCCAGATCTCGAGAACGGCTGGGCCGATTGTGCCCAAATTTGGCACATCGCTAGAGACCGGTTAGTAGGGTGCCGTGCACAAGTCAGTTGGAGGTCCCCCCTCGCAATTTCGCACGTGCAAGGCCCATCCTCTCGCTCGCTCCGTGAATCGCCCCATAAGGCGTTATACTGGTCAGTACCTTCATTTGATCCACACCTCTTGACTGAACGCTCAGCTTTGATACCTCACGCTGCTCTTGACGCACCACATTTCAGCGTTTGGAATTAAAAGATATATAATTTTACCAAAGTTGTGAAATGTGAAATAATAGGCAGACAGGCCGACATTCTTTAACTTGATGATCCACAACCATAAGAAAATGATTCAATAAAAAGACGAACAACAATTCACCAATCGGCAATCACCATCCTATGTAATTCGGGGCCTTACACCCGCAGTGGTCAGCACCTGCCCATTCCACCAATCAACACGAAGGTGATTCAGGAGCCGTCGTTTATGAGTCTCAGCAAAATACATAGTCGCCGTCTCTTACCGACTATTGCATTGATTGCACAAAGAGCCGAGTCTCAAACTGAATAGATGGACGAATGAAAATATCTTTTTGCCTCACTTCTGAGCTTCTGGTGGAGCCATGCAACTGAATAGATTGACGAGGGAAAATCTCTTGTTGACTCATTGCTGAGCCTCTGCTGGAGCCATGCAGCGTCCTCCCACTGCCGTCCCTTCATGATCGTCCCACACGCTGCTCGGATTCAAATCAATACGCGCCCCGACTTCCTGGTCGGACTTCCTGGTGACGTACACAGGCCGTCATCCAGCCCGCGTAAATTCGCACTGCATGGTGCTCCGCTGACGATCTGAATCCGGGTCTGTTGGGAACTGAAGGCCCGAGTATAGTGCGTTGGCTGTCTAAATCCGGGTCTTTAGGCCGTCTGAGTCTGGGTCTTTAAGCCGTGCGAGTTCGGGTCTATAAGCCGTGCGAGTTCGGGGCTATTGGCCGTGCGAGTTCGGGTCTGTTGGCCGGTCGAGTCCGGGTCAGTTGGCCGCCTGAGCCCGGGCGTCTGGGTCCGGGTCTGTTGGGAATTGCAGCATGAATCCGGCTCCGGGTCTGTTGCGGAGCTGACTGTTTCAGGCCGGGTCTGTTGTGGCCCCATGGGGGCAGGCGAATAGGCTTCTCCCAACTCCCCCGCGGCTGGCGGAACGGATGCTGATATGCTGAATAGTGGGGACGACTGGCCGGGAGGCGAGTCCCCTGGGGTGGAACGACCATGGCGCAATCAACAAAGGGGAGCTGGTGGGAGGAGATTAGGGTCGTACTGCAAGGAAGACATTCCTGAATGCCCCCCCCCCCCGCACGCACGTTCATACTGCGGCCGCTGCTCAGTCAGACCGTCCGACTCTGGCTCCTGTATCAAACCGTCATACTCTCTGACACATGTATCGAGCCAGCACACTCCCTGACTCACGTATCGAGCTGGCAGACTCCCTCAACTCAACTCAACTCATTTATTTTAACAAACCAGACAAAGTAAAGACACACAAAACATACAAATAGGATTGGTGCAAAAGCCTAAAGCTTAACTCAAGGCACCTCTCCACATTACTTAGAACTTAACAAAACATGACACCGCCGGGATTAACATAACACACCAACATAACAATAAATTAAATGAAAGGCGAACATAAACATAAACATAAACATAAACAAAAATAAACATATCCCTGACTCGCATATCGAGCCGTCACACTCCCTGACTCGCGTATCGAGCCGTCACGCTGCCTGACTCGCGTATCGGCCGTCCTCAGAGCCGTCCGACTGGGTGCCACACAATCTGTCGCTGCGGTGCATAGCAATGACGTCGCCTGACGCCGCAGGATCCTATCGTCAACGCCGACAGCGCGCGGCGGCGACGGGACCGTCGTCTCCAGCCCCAGAGGCGACGGCGACGATGATATAGGTGCACCGCCGGCCGTGGTAATGCGTCTCGGCGGAGCGGCTGTTGATTCCCGGATTGACTGCGACTGAAAATGCCCGGACTTTGCCTACACCTGCTGATGTAATTTCTCTGATTCGATTCACTATAATATGTTAAACAATTTTTAATAAAACTAAATTTGTATTTAACCTTCGCCCCAGTGGGGGGGGGGGCATATGTTACCACCCTGTCGCGTTTTTTTCGTATAAATAAAAAACCGCGGCGCGTAGCGCCGCGCCGCTTGGGGTAGCTTTTGGTACATCAATTTTGGACAATGTGTGAAATTTTTGACCCCAGGTCATGTCACGTCAGGTCACTAGGTCAAGTTAACTGACCAAGCCTAAAAAAGTTTGCAATCATGTCCAGCCTGCAGTGTTTGTCAGCGAGGTTTTAAACTTGGTGGATTACATGATGTTATGGGTGCCTACAATTTGTATATCTCGGATTATTTATATGCGTGACCTAAGGTCAGGTCAGTGGCGTGACCTTTCCATTATAAGTCAATGGAGAAAAACGAAAATGGCTCTAGATCCTTGTGTACGCATAGGAACAGTCCAAATATTTCAGGATTACAATGATTGGGACCACCCGTGACGACCGAGGTGTCTTTTTTGCTGATAGCCTCTTGAAAGGTCATCCGAGGTCATTTGAGGCTACAAACAGTTTTTTGCCAATAACTCTCGATTGGAAAAAGATAGAACGCTGGGGTTGGCCTCATTGTGTTTGTTTTGCCGAGACGCATCGACTGATATGCAACATGACCTTTTCCGGTCAGGTCATGACCTTGACCTGAGGTCAAATTTTGAAGTTGACCTTTCAAGGTTAAATTATAGTTCATTCGACGCGTCTCGGCGAGAGAAACACGATTCTGGCATTAGAAATGACCCAGCTTTTTTTATTCAAAAGTTATTGTCGAAAAACACTTTTCGTAAAAACAGCTATTTTTGGAGTTTTTGCCCTCTGGAGGCTAAACCGTTGACCTGAGGTCATTTTTGATGATGACCTTATCAAAAGAAGAGTTCAAAAGCTATCGATTGCTTTCCCCAGCGTTTTTCTAGCTATCACAGTTCCTGAGATAATGGCATGTTTTCTGAAAATTATAATGACAATTCGCAAATTTTGACCTTTGATCACCTCTGGTGACGAAATAGTATGCAGTGCTCTAGCGAGGAACATCTTGATATATGTTGTTAGGATTTTAAATGACCTTTTCCTCGATAATTAATTGGAAATTCAATAAAAGTAAATATTATATTGTTTGGCAAATTTTCGAACAACAGTTCATTCTCAAGCCACATGAAACAATTGACCAATTGTCAATTGACCAATTGTCCAATAGTTTCATGTGGCTTGAGAATGAACTGTTGTTCGAAAAGTTGCCAAACAATATAATATTTACTTTTATTGAATTTCCAATTAATTATCGAGGAAAAGGTCATTTAAAATCCTAACTACATACACCTCTGGTGACCCTAATATTGCTCTAAGATGAAAAATGACCGAAATACTTTCAAACGTACGCATTAAGAGCTATCGACTGCTTTTTACTGCGTCCTTCTAGCCCTCTTAGTTTTTGAGTTACAGGTGGGTGGTAACATATGCCCCCCCCCCCCCCCCACTAGGGCGAAGTTGGCTGAGACCGCCACTGGGGCGCGGGTTAATGACATGATCTAGAATTTGTAAGTTACTCCGATAGCTATATTATTTGCGCTCGTGCCAAATAACAATTATCCTCCAGCGACCCACCGTATAGATATCTATACACAACTTTGCAAATTTTTAGCGACAAGAAAACTTTTAGCATTGACCTTAATCCCGGGCGTATGGGTTTCTTTACCATTTGTTAGCCACCTGGCGAGAAATTTTGGCACTAGTACTTCGCAAAAGTCCGCAATTTTCCTTTTTGTGAACTATGGCGACCGGCGGAAGAAGTACAGGTTAGTTAAACGCTGTTTTCAAATGTTTTTACTAATTGCTGAGAATAATTTCATGTAGCATTACTTAAAACTAACCATTACGGTTTATTTGGTGTCTTGTCTGTGTGTTTAAATTAATTGGCTTGCTTCCTATACTGTCATCAATCACAATGTCAAGGTGTCTATACGTTGGGTCTGAATGCTGTCTTTAGGGGGTTATATTTGATCTCTCTCTCTCTCTCTCTCTCTCTCTCTCTCTCTCTCTCTCTCTCTCTCTCTCTCTCTCTCTCTCTCTCTCTCTCTCTCTCTCTCTCTCTCTCTCTCTCTCTCTCTCTCTCTCTCTCTCTCTTCTATTCTCTCGCTATTTCCTCTCTTTCTTCCTCTCTTCTATCTCTCCGTTCGTTCGTTCTTTCGTTTGTTCGTTCGTTCGTTCGTTCGTTCGTTCGTTCGTTCGTTCGTTCGTCCGTCCGTCCGTCCGTTCGCTCGTTCGTTCGTTCGTCCGTCCGCCCGTGCATCGTCCATCCCTACGACCCCCATCCCTACGTCCCTCCCTCCCTCCCTCCCTCCTCCATCCCGCCCTCCCTCCCTCCCTGCCTCCGTCCATCCGCCCATCCGTCCAATTTCCCTCATGGTTACAATCCCTGCCATTCCAGGATGTTCTGGGAGTCCTTCCTGTTCCACACGTCCTGCAACTGCCCGCCGGAGGCCTCCCGCAATAACTGATGAACAGCTGCGTGAGATCCTGAACAACCTTGACATCTCTGATATTGAGCTCTCGGAAGATGAAGATGACTTGGCCGGAACTGCACCGATGAACGTCTCTGGCGAAAACGAAGACAGCCCATCCTCAAACGACGAGCTGTCAGCAACCGATGAAGAGACGTCCGATCCACCTGCCAGCAGAAGAGTGTTCTGGAGACTCAATGCCGATTTTGGAGAGCCGGCACAGCGTCTCTTGGAGATGGGAGTAAGCACGGGAAGAGTTGAGCTGCAGAAAGTGCTTCCGCTTGAGATGTTTCTTCGATACGTATCTGGTGATCTGCTTGCCGTCATAGCAACATGTACTAACCAGCGCCTAGCAGAGCAGGGAAAGACTCCTAATGTCACACCAGGAGACATCTTCAAGTTCTTTGGCATCTGTTTTTACACGTCAGTCATCAAGTTCCCATGGCTTCGGATGTACTGGAGCGAGAAGTATCGTCTTCCAGTGGTTGCCGATCAAATGAGCAGAAACAAGTTCTTCAACATCAGGGCCAATCTAAAGGTGGTCGATGATAATCGCGTTAGCGAGGACCACAAACAGAATGATCGTCTGTGGAAAATCCGACCACTGCTGGACGCCATTCGGCAGCGCTGTCTTCAGCTGGATCGTCCTGAAGCCGTGGCAGTGGACGAGCAGATGATCCCGTTCACCGGTACAACCAGCCTGAAACACTACGTGCCCAACAAGCCGAATCCTGTTGGACTGAAGAATTGGGTACTGGCGGGTGACAATGGCCTAATGCTCGACTTCGAGATCGATCAGGGGAAGTCGAAGCTGATCAGCATGCTCACTGATGCCAGACCTGGGGTAGGCCTTGGAGAAGCTGTGGTGCTTCGGCTGTCGGAGACTCTTCCGGTAGAAAGCAAGGTTTACTTCGATCGGTTCTTCACATCACTTCCGCTGCTTGATGCTCTAAGCGACAGGAACCTCAAAGCAACTGGCACTATCATGAAAAACAGAATCCCAAAGCCGGTAAAGATTCCGACTCAGAAGGACCTGGGAACTCGCGGCACGTCTCAGTGCTCTGTCCGCCAAGACCCAGCAAAAGGACCTCTGGGAATAACCACATGGCTGGACAACAAACCCGTGATCCTTGCATCCAACCACGAAGGAATCCACCCGGAGGACGAGTGTAGGAGATGGAGCAAACGAGATCGGAAGTTCATCGCAGTCAGTCGGCCTGCAGTCGTGCGGTTGTACAATAGGAGCATGGGAGGGGTAGACCTGCTGGACCGGATGGTGTCCTACTATCGGACGTCAGCTCGGACGAAGAAGTGGACGGTGCGCGTGATACTCCACATGCTCGATGTGACAGCCACCAACTGCTGGATCGAGTACAAGAATGAGCTGGAAAGAACTGGTCATGGCGAGCGTAAGGACATGCTGCAGATGATGGACTTCAAGCTGAGACTGGCAGAACAGCTGATTGAAGAGGGATCGAGACTAGATCGTGACATGGACAGGACGATGCCAGAAGACGCTGACAACACAGCCGCTCTCCATGAAGCTGAAACCAGTCGTGCTCTCGTGTTCCTGTTCCTCCCGTAAAAAGGCGGCACGAGGAGGCCAGGCACATGCCTGAGATGGATTCAGGGAAGGCCTCTTACCACAGGTGCCGACTGCCAGGATGTTCAAAACTGGCCAGAGTAAAATGTTCGTCATGTCGTGTTTACTTGTGTCTGACGTCTGACAGGAACTGCTTCATGAAGTTCCACCGGTAGCAATGGAAGGGAGATGACGTTTCTGGAGGATTTGACGTGCGAATCCAGACGAAATAGTACCTACTGGTATCTTCTTGATAAGCATTGCAGTAAAAGCACTGCAACTGATTGTTAGCTGTGAGAGCATTTTAAGTTCGCCTGCTAGTGATGAAAGATACTCACCTGTTCTGTGGCAATAAACGTGGTTGGCAGTCACCAATATATTTGTGAAAGTAGGTAAATCGAACGGCTCAAATCAACGAACTGAGACCCAACGTATAGATGTGTATACATGGCATATTTTGAAAAATATTTTTCAAATAATTTTTTGAAGACCATTTTTGGTCTATTTACATCTCCCTTGATATCCTTTTAAGTTTTTGTCGTTGTAGCTTTCTCACTTAGTGCATGGGTCGCTAGAGGAATTAGACATTGATATCGATCAATTCGTTTTTTTTTCAATTTTTAGGTGTTTTTCCCACAGCTCGCCTGCTTGGAAAATGGACTCTGCAAGTTTGTCTCCTTTAGCTCAGCCTGCTCCCATAAGTGCCTCCAGTGACAAGCTTTGTTTTTAGACTACATCGATTATGGGAAACTTTGGAGCACTCCGGAGGGACAATTAGTCTGTTGTTTTCACCCAATAACGTTCATCAGCACACTTTTATCTCGGATCTGTTGGCCGTTGGGGTAGGGTCTGGGCAGCCACGAGCAAGCGTTCGAGCAGCGCATTTTCGCGGTTTCATCAAGCAGTGTAATCATGACAGGCATGTGGTGGTCATGAAGCAGTGCTGTGAAGGGCGTTTTGCATGAATTCTTCATTTAGGGTAAGTATTTGTTTAACAAGATACCCCCGGGTATGCAGGCTCAAAACTTATACTCCAGATGGAGAGGGAGGGCGTACGTTCTCTTGTTGGACGCCTTTCCAAATGACAGGACTAACCGGGGTAAAAGTTCTAAATATTGACTACATACTACATATAGGTATGATATGTACGAAGCATGGCTTCCCGGTTCCGTTGTGATCGTCTGGCTTCACAGGATCACCGTTTGGGTGAACCGGGCTCTGGCAGGCAGATCATGCATACCAGTCACCGTTGTGTTCACGGTTTGCAATATTTACGAATGTAATTCACCGAAGTAAAATACTTAAAGACGTCTCATAGCAGGTATCTTGGAAGTTGGACGTAGTAGCCACTAGTTTTTAGTATCCAGAGCCGGATGTCGGACGGATAGCAAGCGACGTGTGCGTGTCCAGTGTATCCAGTGTATCCACTGTGTCCACTGCCCAGTGTACCCGCTCTGTCCACTGTGTTCGGTCAGTCAGTATTCAGCTCCCGCCCGAGGCGGCGGACGGCTCTCGACTCTGAACGGCCGTCCGTCCGCACGGTTCGATCATCTCATCGGAGGTCTCGTCGAGCCGCACCAATTCCGCGAGATAAGTTAGTGCGGCGAGTTAGGAGAGTTGCCCGCTCTTGAGTGGAAACGTGACCTTCTCGGCGGCCGCCCCCGTCCGTCGGTTTATCCCACCGACGGCCGGTCGGCGGCTCTGCCGATCGAGTGTACGACACCGACCGATCGACTCACGCACCGGACATCGGACCGGACGAACCGATCGGGTTACAGCGCGGCGCAACACGTGGTGGTGGGGTTGTCAGGCATCCTGGCAGCACCTCGAGAAAACGGCAAAAACTGGTGGTATTTTGTAATAATGTGAGACCAAGCGAGGACAACCCTAACGCCTATAATATGTAGTGATACATTGGTTCCACGATCTCTGCATTTTGTAGCCATATGATCAATTTGGAATGTTTCAGCAACACTCAACTCTGGCTGCAGTATCATTTCCGAGCAGCCCAGCAACTATCCAATCAGGTACACTTTTTATACACTCTGATCAGCTTATAAACTCTAATCTAACAAAGTTCGAAAGTCAATTTACTCCAAGGAACTCTGGTTATGCGAATCCTTGAGAATGCTAATATATAATCTTAAAGATGAGTATGTGTCTGATCACTCAAGGTAGTGAGTCCGCAAAAAGTTAGTTCGCATTGTTTGAAATGTGACAATACCTTCTCTTCTACTACTAGCGCATATTTCTACTTATGCCGTATTTTTTAACACTTTTCCCTCTTATGTGCTATGTTCAGCAGCTGAGGCTGCCTGTGCTATTGTGAATTACCGAGGATTGTCAGCGCGGCTGTTTCACCTCGAACGGAATTGCTATCAATACAAACACATTCGCCAGCCTGCTATACCACGCCAACTCTCCCAACATGATGTCCTGAAGTACACTTCCACTTCCCTAGGCGAGCAAGCCTTCCCGACGGAGCGCCGTGCAGCGTTATCTTCATTTTATCGGTGGCAATAAAGGCGGACCGTGGCGGCGGGCGCCGACACTGGGTGACCTATAACTGTCAGTGGAGGGTACACAGCTCGCCGTAACGTGCATCTTTGGTCGGCACCGGCGGCGACAGATGCCCTAATGGCGGAGTCGCTCTCACTGCTCTCGGTGATTGGGGAGGGCAGGGGAGGGACCCACCTCTGAGAAACTTAGAGTCTATCTGGCAGAACTCTGCCAGTGTCTCGTGGAAACTCACCGTCCATGACGCAGTGGTTCTACGAAGGTCAGCGTCTTAAAAAATGAAGTGGTAATGCTACTAGCATATAAGGCTCTTGAGGGTCATAAGGTAGAAATATTGTGACATAACTACTAACTATACTTCGTTTTTTTTTTTCAAAAGGACGCTGGCTCAAAGTTCAATATCAAAGCTCTCACGTGAGTTTTGGCAGCTTCAGTGTCTGGCCAAGAATTTCTTACCGAAAAAATAGTCGATTTCAAATTGTGCACGGTAAGTAGCTGGAAATTGTTTCTTAAAAATGAACATACTATGATGACGTCACTGGTGGCAGCAAACACCCAAATGTTTGTGCAATGGGATAAGTGTCAACGAATTTGGGTGAAACTAAATTTTTTACTGTTGCCGAGCTTATAATCGAGTCAGCGGTTCTGTCCATGATAGGTATACGTTACATTGCAATACATGTTCGACAGCATGACGTCACCACTGTTCTCATATCTGGTTCCAAAACGCACATATGGAAATTATCGGGAAGAAATCACATGTTAAAATTAGTCGACGTTTGATTTTCTCAGGTTCAGTTTTTGCTCGTTTTGCTCGCTAAAACACGTGCTTGCTCGAAAAACATACTTGGAGCCAGCGTCCTTTTGAAAAAAATGAACTATAGTGGATGTAAGAAGCTGTTATTCATGCAAGTCATCTGTAGCTTCTTTGGAGCAAGGCCCTAGAAGCCAAGGAAAAAGCGCCCTGGTCCATTGCAAGGGAAGATCTTTTTCACCCAATATTGGTTGAGCGGTTATCCTCCATTGGTAGACGTTGTTAGCCCTTTTTGTGCATACATATATCTGTTTGGCCGACCTTCGATGGCACTCAGGAAGAGCAACGTGAAACTAAGCAAAAAGAAACAGAATCCATTCCAAGCCATACTTTCGCTATACATATATTGCATCCATTTAGGTACAGGGTTCGTCTTACTGCATAGTGGATATTCGTTCTTCTTTTTTTTTTTGACAAAACCGAGAGGCGAGAAGAACTTGAAGGCAATGTTATCAGGCACTTAAAAAGCTTAACACCGAAACGCTTGAGTCTCCACACCTTGGATTGGGCTCATCAATGTACACTCGCCAGCCTATAACTATTTCTCACCCAGCTTGGGAGCAATACACAAACGTTTATATTTTTATTGCCACACCTGAAGTAGGTACAATTTGTTTAATGATAGTAAAAGTGGAACATTGTGCATCTCTGTACTAGGAGTTCCCACCCACTGCTAAGACAGCCTCTGAGTTATCCTCGGGTTTGTCGGAAAAATAATACCCAGCACGCAATGAGACGAGGGCCGATACCTGATAGGTTTTATGTTATATCGGAAGAAGATCATAGACAATATCCATACAGCTGTAGGTCGTAATAAATGGCGCTGTTGAATCGAATACCTACCATTTACCATTCACCTTTATCGAATCATTCACCCAGCTGCCATTCACCATTCACCCTCCGTTGCCATTGCCTATAGAATGTAACGACTTATGATCACGACACAGCCAGATCATACTCCCTTCCCTACACTCCCGAGCCGACCTCCAGCGGTCCTCCCGGGATGTCTGTTTGTCTGTATGTGTGTGTGTGGTGAGCGGACCCACTGATTGCACTGTACACAATCTGCGGAACGTGGGAGCGCCGTTCATTAGCACCTGTTTGTCTTGTCGGCGTGTTACCGTCGCCGCCGCAATGTTGGCTGATGAAAACACACCGCTCCCAGGAGTGCCACGACTTGGCCGACGCGCAGCGGCCAATGTTGGACAGTCTGTATTGTGAAATTGGCAGGATGGTGACAGCTGACAGCTAAAATGTAACTAATTATCTTCAATAACACAATAAGGTGTATTTGTGTGTTATGAAGTAGGATGGTAGCATAACATGCCAAATATACCTACAATTTGACATAGAAGTATGAAAGCATAGGTGTCATCGAGCGATAATAAATCCCTCATAAAGGTGCTTACTTAACCTATGGATATGAGAAATAATCACACTTACGAGATAAATCTCAACAGCGTTTGATGCGTTATCATCCCCTGTCCACCGTAGTTTTGATGAAAAGCTTAGGAACGCAAGTTCAGTGACACTCAATGTTAAAACAACACCTTCTGCTAAATACCAGAGTCGTTTGCTTTGTGGGATATGAACAAAATAAAATAAAAGAGGGAACAGGCGGGAGCAATACATCAAAGCTGCAAGCTAAAGGCTGTGTTTTACGGTAGTTTTA